GGCATTTCAGGTCAATAATTTAGTATATTTTGGTTCAGCTGATAAAAAAGGTTTACAAATGAAATAGAATACATTAACTAGTAAATGTAAAACAAAAATGCATAAATGTAAGAAGTGAATAGATGGATAGGTTTTGTATATATTGTTCAGGTGACACATAAAGATCTTACAAAATAGACTTAATATAAATTATTCATAAATGTAAAAAATTTTTTTTTTTTTTTGGTTGAAGCAGCAGAAAAACAGTCAAATTCCTATGTTACCTTGCTCTGATTGATCCAATACAGGTAAAATCCTTTCGGATCCATCTTCATGGTGACCGGTGTGGTTTTCTTGGAGTCCTGTCAAGAGTTTTTAATCATTAAACCACTAAATATCTCTCAACATGATACAAATTACGAATATAAACATCAGAAATGAAGCAGAAACGTAAATCTAACTGGTCAAAGAGGCCTGTTTTCATTAAACACTGACAAGTATTACCCCCAAAAAAATCAGTAACGTCCCATGATAATTATGTATTTTTATAATTATCAGTATCAGGACCAAAAGCACCTGTCGTACAGTCAAATATGAATCCATATTGAATCTCGTGTGTTCATACGAGTCCTAATTCTGATCCCGTCCACTTACTTCTTTCCATTTTGTGAACCTGTCTCCCTTCACCAGGTACTCTTTGACATCAGGCTCCTGAAGCGTGTAGCGGTTTCGATTCATTTTGGACGGATCACCACAGTAATGTGGTCTAAAGCTCCAGTCCTGAACTCATTGTCCCCGGTGAGAATGAAGGAGTTTGGGCTAAAAACTCTGCTAAAATGAGCCGGCAGGACGTCCAGCCTTCAATATGCATTGCAAATGAGCTTCAAGAGCGGCCCGGACCCACCCTGCTCAGGTTTACACCCCCTATCTGTGCTCTAGCATGCCAAAAACCAAACTATAGAGCAGCATAGGACACAAGAATCCAGAACGGAATGTATATATTTAGGCCTGAATTTAAAATGTACGTATATGAATAATTTCATATAAATGTCCATGCATTTGGATTGCACACGTTTAACAAAACAAACTAATAAATGTGTGATGCACGTTTGTCAATCATACATAAATGAAACTAAGGTCAGATTTCACGTTTTATTTATTTATTATGAACAATTTACATCTATTTGTTTTTATTTACATAATCAGCATAAATCAAATTACATTAAAATACAATATTGTGTTCAGTTAAAAAGTATGAACTTAATTAAAATATGGATTAAACTATATTCAGTCAGTTAGATTGAAACAACTTGGATTTATAGAGGTGATAAATATATAAATCTGGTTGTTGTGTGTTTAAAACACATTCTGACCCATTTCATATGACTGACAAATATGCATCACATTTATATGTAATTCAAATACATAAATATTAAAATAAGGCATAAATATTAAGTGAGCTAATAAAACGATGTTCTAACAAACGTTACAATCAGGTTATGAAATTATTTCTCAAACTTGTTCAAACGTTTGTCTTGGTTATGTGAATACTAAAGCAACATTCCATTTTTTTAATTTCTAAACATTACAGGAATGTTACTTTTTAATGTTCTCTGAACATTTTGAAATTTAAAGAATGTGTAAATAATGTTTCTGTGGTAACATTTTGAGAAGTCTGAGCGAACGTTTACTGGAATGTTTGTTCCAAAATGTTCTGAAAATGCATATGAATGATTATTAATTGGCAAGTATAATGACAAGGAGCCAATTTCACCCGAGTGAACAAGGTTTGACATTATTAATGATGTAAGATTAGAATATGTAAATATTAGCATGGCTCTCGCTGACGGGTTTGACACACAGATTGACATTATATAGATTCATTACTATATGCATTCATAAAAACAAAGTGGAAATTGGAGTTCATTCAGCTGCTCAGTTTGAGTAAAATCAGGAATCTGTTCTAGAATGAGCTGGACTGTGGTTCAGAGCAATGTTCATATCGTTTGGCTAATAGTCAAATATGAGCTGACACATGGAAATCATCACGGAGCACATTAACATGAGGCTGTTCCCTAAACGACACACATTCCCTACACCTTTCACTTAACAATAATCAGAAGACATCAGAAGAATCAGGCGTGTTCATTAATATTATACTTTTATGTGGACGATGTTAGAGACCGTCTATGAACTGAAACAATGTCACACATATACACATTTATCTAGCCAAATACGTGTTAAAATAAAGCTTTATTTTTAATAAAATAAATAAAATGTAATAAAAATGGTTACTTTTTTAAATTATTAATTTTGTATTTGTATGTATATAATTATACACTATGTGTGTGTGTGTGTGTGTGTGTGTGTGTGTGTGTGTGTGTGTGTGTATCCACCCCAATCTTAATCCTAAAAGACAAAAAAATACAAATACAATATACAAGTTTACTAAAGTTCATACTTTTTTCAAAATTGTTATTATATTTTGTTATTTACATAACATTATTATTTTTTATTATATGTATTTTAGTATTTATTTATGCCATTTATATATATATACAAATATAAATACACTTTATATTACACACACACATGACCTACATCTTCAACAACAACAACAACAAAAGAAAAGTTGACTAAAATAACATAAAATAATAATAAAATCAATAAAAGAATCATTTCTATTTTGTGGCAGTAAGCTTTAGCTACATAAATACAAACACAGATTTATAAAATAAAGCTCACTGGCAAAATGTTAACTGATTACTGATAATCATAAATACTGTAATAATATGTTTGGTTTGGTATTAGAAACATGCTGGGAGTGTATTCCAGTCTGACCTCTGTCTCACAGCGGCTCAGTGAGGTGAACCAGACAGCAGTGATTGGCTCTTACCGGCCAGCCAATCAGAGCAGGACATCATGGTGCAGGATTCCAAACTCTAAATCTGATTGGCTCATGCAGCAGCAGCACTTCCAGGTGATGTGGTGTCAATCAGGTCCTGTGGCATCAGAGGACAGGCAGGCGAACATCCAGCAGCCCCTGCAGGAGAATCATCTGTTCCAATGTCACAATTAACCACTTAATTACTGATGGGAGGGTCAGCCCCTGCAGGAGAATCATCTGTTCCAATGTCACAATTAACCACTTAATTACTGATGGGAGGGGTCGACCCCTCCCATCAGTAATTAAGTGGTTAATTGTGACATTGGAACAGATGATTCTCCTGCAGGGGCTGCTGGATGTTCGTGTTAAAGGGGTCAATACGGCCGACTATTATCAATAACAAATGATTCTGCAGTGAAGATGCTTAAGGGAAATGCATCTTTATGCAACGTCATGTTCGAGTAAACAAACATTTGCATTCACATAAATCATTTTGCTTTTATCCAAAAACGAGGGAAGCAAATGATTTATCACAGAACAAAACATACAGTCAGAATGCATAATGCAGGAGGTCATTTATTTGAACGGATCTATAAATTATGTCAATAAAAACGGCATCAGAAGCCTTCCTTACTTCATATCAAATATTCATTACGCATTTAGAAATGATTCATTATTTATCAAAAGCGCTAGTGGAAGGACGAGACAGTAATGATGTGGATATCATAAATGTTATAAAAATACAGTGCTTTCTTATTTGACTGAATTAAAACAATAGATATTAGACTTTTATTATTAACATATATTTAAAATAATATCATTCTGCATGTTATTTTCAATACAATGGTATGATTTTTAAGGTATTTGGGCAGTGGGATATTGTTTGATTGACAGATCACATTTGTCCATCAGGTGCTGAGTTCTGATGGATTCATCCAAAGCAAGATCTGGTCATCTATAATAAAGGAATTTAACAAACATTATGCGTCATACTGTCTAGCAGATCATTAATTGATGTACATTCAATCATTAATGACACTTTGATTTACATATTTACAGTTAATGGTTTATCAGATGGTTTTATCCAAAGTGTATTTATAATTTATTTATTTAATAATAATATTATTATCATTTATCAATATTAAATGTAGGTCTAATTAATTCAATAAAAACATTATATATATATATATAATTTTTATGACTATATTCTCGACTGTTATTAAAATGATTGCATTCAAGTTGATATGATTTTTTTTAAATGCAGTGTTATCAGTGAGATACCATTATAGTTTGTATATTAATATTTTGATTCAGTTTTATTATTTTCCGTATTTATTTTAATTTTAGTTAAAGTTGTAATTTTAGTATATTTTTAAATATAGTACTATTTTTGATTTCAGTTTTAGTTATTTTAGTGCAATAAGTTAAAATGGGAAATGTTTTTCTTACATTTGATTGAATTGAAGTTCATGTTAATTTTAGTTAAGCAACGAAAATGCTTTTAGTTTCAGTTTTATTTTTTAATTAATTGTATATATTCGATTCATAAAATACGTTCTTATATCTGAATGTACATCATACAGAACAGCATTATATCATACATTTCAAATGCATTTTGATGAAAGTCATCATGAAGTGTTACCAGAGCTTGAGTGAACTGATGAGCATCACGATGCTGGTGTGTTTTCTCTCTTCATTCTCCGCTGGTCCTTTAAGAGCCTCCTCCTCCTCCTCTCCTGTATTTTTAGCTGACGAAGCCCCTTCTTCAGTTGAATAACACACACACACACACACACACACACACACACACACACACACACACACGCAGATGTGTGTACAGTATGATGATCCGTCTCATCATTCTCAACCCTCTCCAATCCATCCCGTGATATTTGGATCAGAAACATCACAGCCCTCGGAGGGAAAAAAGCTGCGCTGGATGCTGGAGAACACCAGAAGCATCAGCAGCACACCGAGCCGCAGCAAGATCCTGACGGACAGCTCAAGCGCCATGGATGAACGCGACACGATTTAACCTGCGCGTAAAAGAGCCTCAACATCCTTCAAAACGGACGGAGTCGTGGAGCATCGAGGGAAAACCCGGGCCAATCGGGACCGAGACTTCATGCCCAACATGGAGAGGGGCAAACCAGCCACCTACACAGGCGACAAGAAGGCAAAGATGGCTGCAAAGACCAACAAGAAGTGGGTAAGACTGGCCACCGTGTTCGCCTATGTTTTATCCGTGTCTCTAGCCGCGATCATCCTGGCCATCTACTACAGCCTCCTATGGTCACCAAAAGCGTCCACCAACACCACCGCGAGCGGCAACGGAACGGGGAGCAACAGCACGCTGGCGATGCCTATCCACATCAACGCCACCGGCACCAACGCGTCTCTGGCGCAGACGGCCGCGTCCCTCTTCAAAAGCGCGCACTCCCAAACCGCGGCTCTCTACACATACATGCCCAGCGACATCTCAGACAGCCAGACTGCAGCGAAGACACAGTCCTCCAGGAGAGAGCAGACTGGAGACGCGCAGCCGGAGACGCGCTGGGACGAGCGCGCAACGTCGCTGGAGGACGACTCTAGACAAACTCACACAAATAAGCGGCACAGAAAGACCTAAGACCTAAGTTTGAGACTTGGAAACGTTCACAGGCCGAGACGAGGCCGTACACCGACGCATAGCCTATATAGCAGAGGCTCTGATAGTGTTTAACCCTTCATATATAACCTGTTTTGTTTCGCCTTAATACTCGGCATCTCCTTGCAGTTGATATTTTGGGAGCGTATCATCCGAAGCGACTGTCAATGCCTTGATTCGAACAGCCATTCTTTCTTTTTTTTGGGGGGGGGGGGGGGGGGGGGGACTGATTCGTCTTATCCATCCAAATACAAAGGCATTTTGTTTTTCCTTTTGCCCTCCTGCCGACCCTCGTTCCACCAGCACAGAGCAACACAGAGCAGGCGTGCAGAAAATGAAGAAGTCTCTCCCGAGCCTTCTGGGGGATGGGGACAAGCTTTTAAAATAACAACTCTAAAAGCTTGCATGAATTTCAACTAAACCTGTTAACCAATTTAATCAGGATTCTTATGTTAGAGGAACCTGTGTCGATGCTCAGGTATGTGCAAATATCCATGTAAATGTATTGTTTAGTAATGTACATACAAGCTCTGGAGACTTTTAGCATCACTAGATCATTTTTATAACAAATGATGTACCATAGGTGTAGAATACATCACCGTAATGGTAAATAAACAACATACAACTACACACACTCATTTCCATTCATTGCACAAGTTGGTTAAAGAGAAAGATGCTCTTGTGTTATATAAGCCAATCTGGACGGCACATCAATCACTTTGACTAGATTAAAAACAAGATGGCAAGGTAACGAAATTACAGGTTAGTTAAGGTGAGCGCACTGTTTAATCCTGCATTAACCCAAAATCAACGCAAGATTGGGTTAATGCTGACTTTTGTGCAAAACACGACTGGCGCTTCCGTTAATTGGTCAGAATAGGGTCATTTTTCACTCATTAACAGCTCTTTGAGCTTCACAGCAACACATTTTCACTCTCTTCTGTGTCTTCTGGCCTCATAATTGTGACCCTCATCCGTCTTATTTGTCATCGGTCTCTAACTGTTTGCTAGTGAGTCACATCTAGTGATCCATGCATGTTTAGTAGTGCTTCTTTCTCTCTCTGTACAGTATGAAGGCTTATTGATTGATTTAAGAAGTCAAAAGCAGGAATTACACAATCCTGCTCTATTTTCAGCGGCGGCTCTTTGACCTGTTACAGCACAGGCCGGAAAATATCTGGGAGAAATTTGTGCAACTCGACCACAGAGATACAAAACAGCGTTTGTACTGCACATTTATGGAAAACACCTGTGCAAAAATTGCCATTTAATTCGAACGTGCAATGCAGATGCTAAGATGTTTTGAATCGGTTTTTTTTGTGAGTTGATATGCAGTTGCATATTCACCCAAATGTCAAAAATCCACCTTCGACTCTAAGATAAGGAGCTAAACGCTGAAAGAGTTTGTTCAAATCACCCACCACTAAATCTGTTGATGCTGTGGTGCAACTGTATACTTTGACCGCACTTGTACTATTAAGCAGCCACTTCCTGTAAACAAGATGTTTTGGACATGTTTTTAGATTCATCCTGTGATTGAAGACGATTGATTCAGCAGCTGTGGGTACAAATCAATGATAAAAACGTCAAGTGCACAAAGCCCCCTTGAGAATCAATTATTAGAGGTGTTTACCGAGTCAGTCCTCACTAGTACTAGTGCTGATAGTCATGTGATCAAACCTCCAGCAGTAAGTAGTGAAGCTGAATGTGTGCGACAAAAATCCAACTTGAGCCACATACAGAGACCAGATGATATCATTTTCACTCGAGAACACCCTAGCAACCATTCAGCATCATTGGTAGTGTATTTTGCAAAGACAAAATTAATATTTCTTGTACATCTGATTTGCAAGGCTTTAACTAGATTGAATTTGATTTCAAAAGAGCATCTTATTCAAAAGGAAGCAAATATGCATATATATATATATATATAAATCATATGCATATGCAGTACTGGGTATATTACTTTCATATTGTAGTCCGTTACGGATTACTCATTTTTGGTTATGTATTCTGAGTACTTTTTTAGATTACTTATAGATGAGTTTTTACCTAACTCGTTTTAAATTTACCATTCATAATCAATAATACATTTCATAATGATTTGTTTTTATAGTGTATTCAGAAGCATGGATCGCTAGTTTATTTACAATGCCATTCTATATTGTGAATATAGTCGAAGCTAAATGGTACGACAGTAAGATTTTTAGAAAGGAAACTTTAAAAGAGAAAAAAAGAAGAATTATGGAGAAACAGTCTATTATGAATAATTCGCTGCCATTGTGTGACTAATATGTAATCAAGCAATCCATAAAAATAAATGTAATCTGATTATGAGCACTTTAAAATGAAATATAATCTAATTACAAGTACTTACTTTTTGGAATTACATGTACTCTGTGTTAAGTACTTGTAATTAGATTACGTTTTCAGATTAGAGTTACTTTTTCTATGGATTACATGATTACATCTTATTTGCACATTATTTGACCTAAAATATTTACTTGAAGTCCCCCTGAGATTTTTGTTAATTTTCAATAATTTAACAAATTCACATTATAGTGTTGAAGAATTAATTTAGTTTTTTCCCCCCTGATTTAACTTGCTTTTCATCAACTCACGTACATACAAGTGAATCCTATGAATCATATACAAACCAAGCAAGTTGAATCAGTGGTTCTCAATTGGTGGGTTGAAGGTTCGATCCGATTAGTGTTAAATGCAATTAATAAAGCACAATTAATCTTAAAATTATGTGCAGCTGAATAGCCAAATAAATCGGTTAAAAACACCTCCTATATCATTTGTTGTTCAATCAAACTCTATGACTGTAAATTCAATACTAATACAATATCAACTCGTGTTTGTTCTCATGTTGATTATGCATTCATAAAACTGTTATGTTATTAATATTGCATATTTGGCTCCAGCAGTTCATGCCAGTATGACTAACCTAAAGTCTGGTGCTTCTGTATGATAAACGATATGTTGGGTCGCTAAAATCTGCATCCTGAAGCAAAACCATTTGAGAACCACTGAATACAGTAAAAGCTGTTGTTTGAAAGAAAGTGCAGGATTATGTTGCATGTTCATAATGGGCTTTTTCAATTATCATCAGTCAGAGTGGACTGAAATGCATTATTAATCTTTAACTGAAGAGTGCTGTAACCCATCACTGGCCGTTCCTGACCCTGATTTCCCATCAGCGTCTGCAGGGGCTCATGATATAATCCAATGTGCGCCGAGAGACCACCGCACTGCAGCACATTCACTGCCAGCAGACGAAGAAAGGGCCAAAGCTGCACTCATTTCTGACACTCACACCGAGTGGATTTTATGAGGCTTTTTGTCCCATTTCTGGAATAACTGGTGGTTATAAGCACTACAGGTTTTTTATAGGACTGATGTTCCCTTCAGGTCTTGAACTGACTATAAAAAGACAGTAACAAACTGTACAAATGCCCATAATGTTAAAGAGCTTAAAATGTGTCAGTGCTGAAACTCTCAGTAAGTATATTATTAAGTGCTGTCAAACTGTATATATATATATATATATATATATATATATATATATATACACACACATATAAATATATCTATATATATACAGGTTTTTTATAGGACTGATGTTCCCTTCAGGTCTTGAACTGACTATAAAAAGACAGTAACAAACTGTACAAATGCCCATAATGTTAAAGAGCTTAAAATGTGTCAGTGCTGAAACTCTCAGTAAGTATATTATTAAGTGCTGTCAAACTGTATATATATATATATATATGTATATATATATATATATATATATGCACACACATGTAAATATTTCTATAAATATACACAGTACACACACACACACACATATATTATGCAAACACAAACTTTCATTTTGGATGTTATTTGTTGCAATTAATAGATTTGACAGCCCTAAATAAATTTTAATATCTTAATAGTCCTAAAAAGGCTTAATTTTAAATATAGCAATATTTTAATATTAAAATAATAAATATAAAATAAAAAAACAATACAAAATTATAAAAAACCCAATAAGATTTGTTGCTAAATTCAAACAAAAGTTATGCTAATTTAAATGTTAACACTATATATAAATATACTGTATACTACTTTCTATAATATACACCACTATTATCTATATGCAGACATACGCACACATTTGTTGCTAAATTCAAACAAAATTTTAATTTTAATAATGTATAGAATCAAAAATCTTAAGAGTCCTTAATGGTTCTAAAAAGGCTCCATCTATTTATTTATTAAAATATTTTAAAATTAAATATAAAAATTAAGAAATAAAAAAAATCTACAAATACAGTAAGGTATATATTATATACTATTATATATAATGCATACCATTATATACCACTCTTTCTATAAATATACATGCATACAAATATATATGCTCCATTTTAATATATTCCATGTATTAAAAACGTATTAAAATAAAATCATTAAAATTGATATTTTAGACATTATACATTTTATTATAAATTTAGTATTTACATTTTTAGGAGACTCACTCTTAAACCTCTTAACTATAAACACTACAACTAAGCAAATGGTTCAAAAATGATTACTGTCAATGTGAAAGACATTAGTGCGACTTACACCAAGATTCAGTGCTTGTGATGTGATTCAACTTCAGTTTGCTTTCGTGAATGTATTTGCTTTTTCACTAGACATGAGTATAATGTTTGACCAAACACAAGCAGATGAAAGTACCTTCATCTATAATCCAGACCATGATGATCATAAATCATGTGAGCGTCCCACTGAAGGTCCCTGCGGATGATGCTGTCCCCGAGCGCGCCTGCTGGAAAAGGGTAATTAAAAGAGTAACAGAAGACAAAGCCGTGTTTGAAGAGAACAGGGAGTGATTTCCAGAGCAACCGGCCGATGGGATGCTTTTTAAAATAATAAGACACTAATCCCAAAAGATCCTGCATCAAACTGAACGCAGAGCTCTGATGCAGGACTGCTTCTTCAAAACAGCTATTTTATTAGTATCTGTCTGTTGCACAAATGTCATTGCTGTAGAAGTGGGTTTCACATTTACTACACAAACTGTCCACAGCAATGGCTATTTTAGCACATCCAGATGGATTGAGCAAGTAAATCAACTTAATCAAAATAATTAATTAGTGAAGTGTGATAAGCTCCGCCTCCTTGGAGGGATCAGGTGAGAGAAGCAGGTCAAAACAAAGTGAGGCTGGAAAATAATTATGAACAATTGATAGCTGGAATCAAGAGAGCTTACCTGAAATATCTACATACAAACTAAGAATTAATTCATGCATATAATGTGTTTCACTGAAAATCATGTAAAATAAAGCATTGCAATATGACTCACAATGTGTACTTAATCTCAATATTTACATTAAAAAAAAAAAATATATATATATATACATTCGTTTTTATATTTATAACATACAGACTAGTTTAGCAACACGACCAAGAGAGGGAAGTTCCCTGAAAACCACAATTGCAAATTTCACATTTTATAAAATGAGTAGTTAATATACATTTTAGTTCAATATTTGAATTTGAATTTATTTAAAGGATATATTGTCAACGTTGACTGTTTTTGCTCCATTTGGTTAATGAAAATAGTAAAAAAAACAAAAACAATCGCGCATCTCTGAGCAACACACAGGGGTGTTTCGATATTGAATGATTCACGTTTTTGAATTTTCAATCATTCGAGTTAATGATTCAGTGGTCCATTCATAAGGACAGGCACTTGCTTCATTCTTGAATGAATCAGCTGTCTGAACGAATCATTTAAAGGCATGCTTCAATCACTCTTTAATTAAGACAGTCACTTGCTGCCACCTACTGGCGGTTTACTTTCATAGTAGCTTATCTTTGCATTTTTTCCAACATTTCATATTTGTATATAGAATATAGATAGATTTAAAACACCGAGCTCACAACATTATTTATGCTGTTATAATTTTTTCATGCAGTATAAATGCATTCGTGCTATATTTCAGCTACATTGAGCTGTCTGTGTAAATGCATCTGAATGGCACTCCAGTCACTTCTGTTTCTTCTGCAGTGGAAATATCGATTGATTTTGCAGATACTGATTTCATATGATTGGTAACAGCCCTATATTATCTTATTATATTAAGTGACATTATTAATAAAAATTTAAGAGTTTGATATGAAAGATGATATATGCATTTAATACGGTTAGGGAAAAAATGACCTGGAGATCTATTTAAATACATTTTTGCATGCAGTATTAAGTCATATAAAACGTAATTTCCCAACAACAAAATTGTGGCCAGTGAACATGCCGAGTGGCTAGTAAATTTGGAAAAGCACTAGCCACAGTGGCCGGTGAACACACACACACACACACACACACACACAGTATATATGCATATATATATAGATTATATAGTTACATTTGCAGCTAAATTCTAACTAAATTTATGCTAAATTATATTTAAATATATAACATTAAAAGATTATATAAAAACATTAAGTTTTATTGCTAATTTCAAACAATTCATTGCTCATTTAAATGTAATTATTAATAATGTATATCATTATATAACACTTTATATATATATATATATATATATATATATATATATATGTATACACACATATATAATGTATTGTCTCTGATTATAAAAAATATATAAAATAAACTTTACACCACAAAAGATTTATTCTTAATGTAAATGTGTTGACTGTCATTAAAACACAAATATTATGGCATTTAAAGGTAATAAACGTAATTTAAATGTAATTAAGAAATTCAAAATTTTAATAAAGAAATACTTCTTATTTTTTACAGGTAGATATTGTTGGTATAAATTCATAAATCAGGTTCATTGTAGGTATAATTTGAGTGCATTTTAATATTTTGTCCAGTGAAATCAGTGCAAGCATCACAATACAGGGCTGGTAAAAGCTTTTAATGCTAATTATTTATATTTAACATTCATTTCAAAACCAAATGAACACAAAATACTTAAAGTGACAATATAAAAATCAACCCTTAGTCACTTAAAACATCAAACCCTTAAGTGTGTTCTTCAAGCCGTAACGCCGTCCAACTCGTCTGGACTCAGCAATACAGAAACCTGGTGAAGATGAACATCAGTACGATCATAATTCATTGCCATTAACAATCAAACAATAAACTACTGAGTGCTAAACTAGCAGTTTAAGTAAACCTGCTTCAAACCGACCGGCCTGTAACTAAAACCGTTCATGTCGTAAACATTCTGCAGTCTTTTGTAAAACTAAATAATTTAGACCTTAATAGTCCTTCATTTTTAATCAGATAGCAAAACCAAACAACTGGTTTAACACCTTTCAGTTCATTCATACAAAATAAAGTGCTAATTAACATACTTGAACCATCCTTGTGAACTATCCACACTAAACCCCACGACACACGTGCTTATGAAGAATATGATAAAGGCTTCTGTCAGACATATTATGATGTAGTTATGATGAAGAGTACTAGACTAGGTTAGTCAGTTACTGTGCTGGTTAAGTCTAAATGCACACTGTGTCTATGGGTTTGTTCCACTAAACTTCATGAAGTTACACATTCAAGTCGTTTTCTAGTGCTTTCAGACTGAAATCCCACCAAAGACCCATCAAAAACCATCGGAGCTTTGGGTTTGGTGGCTCAGATGAAGGTTAACTGTGCGTTGAAGCATTAACAATCTTTCACCTACGAGAAGATAAACCAAGCAGAACAATCCCAACCAGTGTTTTCAGCGTTCAGCATCCAATCAACAACACGACGCTCAAACGCTCCCGGAAATACTCCGAACACAGAGTCGTGTGAGCAATGACTCAGACAGGCCCGAATCAGTCAGAAACATAAGCAAGTGGTATGTTCGTTCTTCTGTTTGTTTTGGTTTTAGTGCGTGACGTTTCGCTCCAGATGTGAGCGACATCATTTCCCGTCTAAACCACTTTCCCATTCTCTCTGGCCTGGAAAAAAAGAGAAATAGTCAAATAAATCGAAATATTTCAACACAATTAAATAGTTGTATGACATCAATATATAAATATAATTTTTTTAAAAAATGAAATCAAAACTTTATTGTATGTATATATATATATATTTATTAATATCACAAAAAGCTTGATTTAATGTAGACAGCCATACATAGTAATATTGTAATTGTAGTTGCACATTTTAATTACTAGTACATAATTTTTCTTAAATATTTATTTTTATTTTACAGTGAGCTACTACATAAGTAATTTTTATTTTTTGTATTTGGTTATAATAATAATAATATTTATTATTATTATTATTATTATTATTATTAACTTTTTATTTAATTTTTAAATGATTATTATTTTATTTAGGTATTCAGTATTTTTTTATATTTTTATTTGGAAATAATAATAATAGTAGTAGTATTTATTATTATTAAAATTATTATTATAATTTTATAACTCTCTATATATATATTAGTGCTGTCAATCGATTAAAAAAAATGAACAAATTAATCGCACATTTTTCTGAAATTAATCACGATTAATCGCAATTAATCCCACCTAACATTAAAGTTTTTAAATATACTTTTATATTGCAATAATTTCACATTCAATCTTCAAATGTATGTACAAACAACATAAAGACAGTATATTTTTTAATATTTAATGGCATATTTTTTTATGACTGAAGGCCAATATCAATGATACCAATACTGATTTCTTTATAAAACTGCCCCTCCCCCAATATTTAACCATTGACTATAGCATTTCAGCATTACAGTATAATTGAGAGCTATCAAATTTAACATTTATTAGACTTTAAAAAATAACTTCTAATTTAAGTGAACTTTCTTCACATAAACCCATTATAATAAATATCATATTCACCTCTGCCCTTCAGCAGAAATAGCAATTGAAGTTATCAAACACAAAATTCTAAATTAAATATAGATGAATCCTTAAAGCTACAAAAGCTATTTTTTTCCTCTTTTTTTCTTAGTCCTTTGATTAATAGAGATCACAGCAGCTGGTTATTCGGTTATTCTGGCTGCTATTACTTTAAGAGCTGCCGCTGCTGAACGTGACACGGATCTGACACGCATACATGTCTCTCAACTCTTTTTACCTTTTCTGACCCACTTCAGGTCTTAAAGTCTCTACTAATGAGCTGACGAGTTAAATCGGGTGTGTTAGGTGAGGGAGACAGTGCTGGGCTGCTCCAGGACAGATTTAAAAAAACATTTCAGAGACATGTTCTTAAATGTGACTCATATAAAATGTATTACATGCATCCACAGTTTTAAGGCAGCTTTAATCGCCTTTTTGGTAACTTCAAGACATAACTGACCACGACATTGCATGCACGTAGTTTATTACGAGCTTTGATATGAAAGGATACAGCGTGCGCCGGCGCCTTTGTGCGTGTAACTGAAGAGCACTCGCTGCGAGCACAGTACCGTTTCTGCGCTCGCTTGACTCACGCCTGGCACTGAAGAGGAGCGTGCATCTGAAACATCTCCCATTCTCAGTCATATTATTATTCAGTTATTCAGTTCTGCGATGTAGGTATTGTACATTTAATGTAGGCCTCTCATAAGACTAATATTATTATTGTAATTTTAGCTGTAATTTTTTCTTAAATACTTTTTACAGTGAAATATTACAATAGTAATATTTCTTATTTTTTTATTTAGTCATTTTTATATTTTTATTTAGTTTTATATTAGTCATAATAATCATTATTATCATTTTATAGCCATATAATCACAAACTTTTAGCTCTACAAATAAGCATACCAAGCTGGAATCTTCTTGCATTTTAAATTGGAATTTTAACAGTAAAATCGCAATTCGATTTTTCCCCAAATGGAGTGGCCCTAGATCAATGCAAAAAGACCAGAAATGGACTTAAGTGTTGCATTTAAACACTTTAAAACTGATGTATCCGTGCTCTTTACCTCATAGGACGAGTAAGTGGCCTGGTTACATATATAGTGCTGCTTTCTAGGGTATTTCTGCAGCACTTCAGCTGGATAATGGAGTTTCAGTGGGCCGCTAAATCCTGTGAGGTGGGACACTTCAAATCTGCAAGTCAAATAAGGCTTTAATGCAGCACACTCACCATATCATCGCTGGTGCTGCGGTCGGGAAGAGACTCGGCCGGCTCCAGATTCAGGACAGACAGACTCGAGTCCATCAGTTCTTCTGCCAGAGAGAGAAAACACACACACACACACACACACACACACACACACACACGTTGTGTTTCCATGTTTTATGGGGACATTCCATAGGCATAATGGTTTTTATACTGTACAAACTGTATGTGCGATTGCCCTACACCAACCCTAGCCCTAAACCTACCCCTCACAGGAAACTTTGTGCATTTTTACTTTCTCAAAAAAACTCATTCTGTATGATTTATAAGCTTGTTTCCTCATGGGGACCTCAAAAATGTCCCCACAAGGTCAAAATTTACTAGTATTACTATCGTTGTGGGGACGTTTGGTCCCCATAACGTGATAAATACCAGGTAC